TTTTCTTTTCTTTTCTTTCTTTCCACTCCACGAAATTCATACAGCTCAACTTGGTCCTACAGTGGAAAGTTGTCTTTTATCTAGGATTACATTTTATGATCTGCACTCCTATTTATACATCCTGGGACATATCTGTCGTCCTCCTTTCACAGGCTTATCCAGAACTGATGACCTACTGAAACTTTGCTGTCCTCAAGGCCTGGGCAGGTGTCACTTGCTCCATATGTGCATAACAGCCTACATGAAGTATCTTGCATTTGCCCTCACTGGAATGCATTGTTTTTTCCACCCTGCATGCCAAATTTGAAATAGAACATGTTGAAAACTAAACCTGTCCTCCTCCATGCCAGCAGCCCTCCCCAGCTCTGTGCCATCTGTGTGTTTGGTGAGCCTACTCTCTGTTCAGTGGTGATGGCAAAGCAGTGCAGAGTGTTTAGGTAACGGTGTGCTCATTTCTGGCAGGTATTTCTGAGTCAGACACAGAATTACTGGGCACCTCTGTGGAGTGGATAACCTGTGTTATCAAGAAGGGGACAAGATCTGAGCATTGTCACCCGCTGCAGCAATGCTCTGGGCTCTGCAGGGCAAGGAGGAAGCCTGACCACCCTGGGGAGCAGGAGAGGGGTGATCCTGCCAAAGCCTTGGTTGCAAATGAAGGCTGGATGAGCTGGGGGTCCAACAAGGTAATTTCACACACAAAGTCCTGTAAGTCCCAAACTCAGTTAGCACTAGATTAATACTGTGCATTACTCAGGTTTTGCTGCTATTGGATCTCTTATTTTTCTTTTTCTTTTTTATTTTAATAGAGCTAAATGACTTGGCAGTGTCACAAAATCACTAAAAGCCATTTAAAAATAATACTGTCACTAGAAGGCTTTTGAAGGATGAAAAATCAGACAGAATTCATTCCTCTTCTGTCACCTGAAAGTTTATGTCACACTCCTCTCCTCCTTCCCCCTCTCTACCCACAGCAGTAGCATTTATGTACAGTTTAATGCTATGATATTTAATCATGCAAATAATGATCTCATTCACTTTAGTGGGATTATTTATGTCCTCAGGATTGCAAACCTGGCACCATGCTCTGCAAAGCTCTCTAGGGTTCTCCAATAAAGATTGCTTCATATCCAACACATTATGAAGGAACATTTGAGTTATTACGCATATTTTTATTTAAATAAATATTTGAAAAAAAACAATTAAAGAAAGGAAAAGCAAACAATTGACAGAAAGCCATTGTATCTGAAATGTGAAATTTAAGCAATGATAGAAATGACAGAATAAATTAGTTTGGAATTGTTCCCTTACCTGTTTGGTGGGTTGGGGTTTTGTTCCTATAGCTCCCTCATTCTTCTTTTTTTTTTTTTTTCCTCTATTCCTTGGCAACAATTCAACAATTTAGATGTTCTAATACTAACAAAAAAAATAAAAAAGAAAGGAAAAAAAAAAGAAAAAAAGTAACTTCTGGCACTGACTGAGTCTTTTAAAAACCCTGTCTATCACTTTCCTCAGATGAATGCATATCCCAATATGATGTCTGAACAAAGGCAAGCACAGG